CCACCCCACCCCATAACCACCAAAAACCCACATCGACGCTATCGTAACCTCGTAAACCACCATCTTCAACCTTAGCTACCTTAGAGAGAATCAGAGAAGGGGAAGGTGGTGGCAAGGAGAAGATAGCATCGGCGTTACCCACCTCCTTCAACCTTAGAGAGAAGGGGAGGTGGTGGCAAGGAGAAGGCAGCGGCGTCGTCAAAGAGAAGAGGGTGGCGACCGAAAATTTGGGTAAATTTAGAGGAGAGAGTGCCTGTGGTTTCGGTTATGGTGGGGTGGGGTGGGTAAGGCAGTTACGGTGGCGTTCTGGTGGGTGGAGTAGTTGGAGAGTGGTTTTAAGCGGTCACGTAAAGGTATGTCATTGCAAAAAAAAAAAAAAAAAAAAAGAATATAAGGTGGTTTCTTGCAAAAAAATTCTTTAAAAGGTGGTTTTTTGAAAAATTTCCAAAAAAATAAAATTAATGAAGGAAAATATTAAATAAACATTTTAGGGGCATAATCGTCTCTACACTATTCATAAAAAGTATGGTCATACTTTTAAAAGGGGTAAATATGTAAATAAACATTTTTAGAGACATAATCGTCTCAACTCTATTCATAAGAGTTTACTCATACTTTTTAAAAGGTAGGGATAATAATAGTATATTAATATCATAGTGTGGGAGATACCCCATATAGGTGGTATAGATATCTAAACTGTACTATAATAGATGGCCTATGATATGAAAATAAGTTACAATGGTACCGATTGGAGATGTATTCAGATATCATTGTCAAACAAATGCGAATCATATCTTCCTGAATTTTATAATACTTGTATCCTATGGAACCGACGAATGCTATGCACATGTATGATAGAATGGACTAGTGAATAAGGGATATGAAATATATGTCCATTTTGATGTCGACGTAATGATAATGATCAAAAGTTTATCATGGACTAGAAGTCCAATGAAATATGGATTTTTAAACCCACACTATACAATTTCTTGCATTATTTTGAGTCTTATGTCCATGTGTATGCATGAGTCATAGGTTAATGGATTACTTATTGCATGTGCAGGAAGTTGTTAGATGCATTACTCATTGCATATTTTGTTTAATATCTTATCATGATTTTAATATCTCATATTGCATGCACTAGTTTCTATATAATAATTGTGGTATGTGTGAATGTTCGTCCAAAGTATAGTAAAACGTATTTACAACATTGATGGGAACTTACAAAGAGATAATTATATTCCAATGGGCTTACAGTTGTGATGAAATTATTGATGGCGCTCATTTAATTGCATGTTATGAATCATGTAAGGAGAGTTCCTGAAGAACTTATGTACGACTTATTTACCTAGCCCTACAAATTTTATATCTTGAATATTGCAATTAGATTATCAAACTCCTGAAAAGTCAATGTCACTACATCATTAATATCTCAACCTGAAGTTTGAGTATGTGAGATTCAATCAGTCTTTGTAGATAGCATTGAGATATCTTTCGACGAGAATAGTTTTCTCATGATCCAGAAGAATCATGAGTGATGTATGTGGGTAGTTATCTTATATCACTAAATCATGTAAAATTGGACAATTTTATCACATGTTGCCATAAATTATGATCTATTATTGATCATCAATTTCTACTAAATATGTCGATCGGCCTCCAAAAGAAAGCATAAGTGTAATGATTAAGGCAACTTCAGAGATTTTGAATGAGATGTGGACAAACACATGTATTATTATCATAAATATGGTGAAATTGAAGAAACCTCACTTGTTCACGTGATGATTTGAAGATTCAAGTTCAATTTGGAAGGAACAATTATCAAGAAATGGTGTTCTGCTATATGGGAGAAGTTACCCAACTTTATCGCGTTGGATTTATTGCACTAGAAGATTTGTGGCACGCTATATATTCATCAGGGGAAGAAAATACGCAATGCACTCTTTTTTCCTTGACCATGATTTTGTCCCACATTGGGTTTTCCTGGTAAGGTTTTTAATGAGGCAGCATCCCGAGCGTATTACAAAGAATGTTGTACTCTTTTTTCTTAATTAGGCTTTTATCCCACGGGGTTTTTCCAATTAAGCTTTCACGAGGCACGATCTTCAATAATGAACATCCAAGGGGGAGTGTTATGAAATATTGTGTGGATGCCCATTATAATCCTTGTATCATTCCGCAAAATTCTAGATCTAGGGTTGATATTCTTATCCAAACAAACCCTAATTATATTATATGTATATATACCCCCATCATATGTAATAAATATACACAAATTAATTCTCTCTCAATTTCTCATGTTTCTTCTTATTTCACAACATTGCATATGAATGAATATTTTTTATTTATTTATTTATTTATTTATTTTTATTTTTTTTTAACGTGAGAGAGAAAAAGAGGGGAAGAATATAATGAGGATGAAAGGGAAGAAGAAAGGGGATTCCATGTAGGCTTCAATTACCGCGTGAAGTTTTAATCATTATTATTATAAAATAGCCACGTAGGAATTTCACTTGTTATAATTCATCAATTTTCATCTGGGTCCATTTTAAGAAGATGGATACATACGAAAGGTAGTTTTATATTGAGGTGATTGAAAGTTTGGACCAATATGATGATAACATTATTGAAAATTTGGGTTTATTGCACAATTATTTTTCCAAATAAATATTGGATAAATGAGTTTAACTAAAGCCTGTAGGTAAATGGGTTAAATAAGTGGATGAGTTTATGAGAATGTGGTTACACTGTAGACACCTGATTGTGTCTCCCCAAAACTAAACCCAGTGATGAGTACCTTTCACGTCTTTGATTATCAAGTTAGGTGGAGAGTTGAAGAGTCTCGTGAATTTCCTAAGCGTTGATCAGATTTCTAACCTTTCTTTAAATGTTTTAAGCCAAAAATCATTCATTTCGTGTCTTTAACCCAAAACCATTCATTTTGTGTCCCTTAAATCATTCATTTCGTGTCATGTTAACATAAATGTCCAAACTAGTTTATTTTGGTCCATAATCTGGGTCCAATGATTGTGTATTTGGATGGGTTTTGAAAGAGCTTTCCAACGATATATTATAAACCCAAATCCGAGTTATAGCGAGGAAGTTATGGCCAAAATACTGAATTGGGCCTAAACCGAGCCTTACCTACGATCCAATGACAATGTGGAGGGTCCATTAACCTTAAACATCATTCCTAAAACCCTTAGGATTTATTATTAGCTTCTAAAATCTTCTGAAAGGTTCTAATTTATCCTGTTTTTGAAAAGATAAAATATATGAATTTTATATCGGATAAAACACTTGTTTTTCAATAAGTTTAATTCTGATAAAATAAGGATAAGTACGGATATTGGACTAACCCAATTTGATTGGAAGTCCGATTTCGTACGGATCTTATCTTTTGAAAAGCATCGCGCAGCGATGGAAATATCGCACAGCGATGCTAATATCGTGCAGCGATATAAGCATCACGCCGCAATGGAACCATCGTCACGCGATAAAAGACGTTTTACTCCGAGTCGGATTTTGATTTTTTTTTTTTGATTTTTTCCCTCGTTTTTTCCTATAAATAGGGGTGTTTTCCTCCATTTTCATTCACAAACAATCGTCACCTAATCCTTTCTATAAGCTTTAAGCTTCGCTCTCTTTCTTTCTTAGCCTAGCCTAAACACATCACACCATACGACCTTTGCGAGACTTATATACTCCAAGCCCTTCTCGTAGTTGCCTTCGACCTCGATGTAAAAGATTGATATTTCTGAGGGTTTGGTCCCTAATCTATATTTCAATTCTTATTTGATTTGTTTGGTTTGATTTTATAACTTTCTTGAAGTTACTAACGTGTGTATTGTTTTGATAGAAAGAGTTACGAGGCTTCAAAGTGAGTAGATCTACTATCTTAATTATTCTTTTGTTATAGAAATCATGCTTAGAATATTATTTTAATTCCTAGTATCATGTTAGGATGCTTTTATGCTTTCTAGTATCATGTTAGGGTGTTATTTTTATATTTCTAATATTATTATGATTTCTAGTATCATGTTAGGATGCTTAATTAATATTTCTAATATCATACTTTCTAGTATCATGTTTAGGCTAAAGCATTGATCTTTATTATTTAGTGACATGCTAGAGTTTGTTATTAATCCGTTTAGTATCATGCCTAGGATCTTGCTAATATTATTTTGGAGATATTGATATTATGATACATTGATATTATGATGATGATTTGTTGTGTCGATAATTATTATGTTGCTTTATTATTATTGCTTGATCACACCCTTTTCTGCAGGTTTAAAGAGAATTTGTACTTGAATCACGCCTAATAAGATAAATAATAATTTGATTTAGGCTTAATATGATTTTAATCCAAGTGATCACCAATAATAGATTAATTTGTGCATTAATAATCAACCAACGTAGATTAAACAGGTTTAGGGCTAACTTGTTGTATGTATGTTGATCGGAAAGCGCACTTGAATATCATAAGAATTAAGTAGAGGCCGATTTAGGACGGGTTCAATCTCTTTTAGGTTGGATTCGTACCATCATCCTTGAATATCCAGTCATGGTTTTGGACCATTATGGAGTTAGCGAACTCCGTGATTGTGAATGGGGTGTAACCTTCACACCCGTGAACGGTTTACAAGTTCCTAAAACTTATTGGCGACTCTTTTATCTCTAGCTTCCTTCTCTTTGGACGCCACCCTGCTTAAATGCATGATCACAGTGGGGCTCAAAGTTGATGTTTGAAATATTCCCTACACTGACCATCGACTCGATCATTTACATCATGCATGACCCTAAAAATATATTGTGTATGCATTCATTTTCATGTATAGAAATTAAAGATGACTAGTTAATTTAAGTAGTATTTATGAGTGCAAATCATCAAATTATATAGAGATTGATGCATCCCTATAAAAAAATGGTAGGAAAAATGAGATATTTATTTACATCGAGCTCCTACGTACATACACATTTAATTTAATTTCATGGGCATGCATTAAGATTTAAGAGAACACATGTAACAGAAAACAAATGAATTAATTAGGAGTACATCATGGATACAAATCAATAAAATATGAAGAAAGAGAAGTATTTTAATTAAAAAAAAAATGAGGTTGAAAAAATGAAGAAGAAGAAGAATGAGACACTAAAAAAAAATGGATAATGCCATTTAAATTTGAGCATAAAATCATAGAACAAGAAAAAAAAATATATTGTATATCCATTGAAAATAAGTTGGAAGATCATAAAGGCAGATTAATCTATGATCCAGCTTCCCATAATGAACTCTCTATTGACTTCGCATCCATTGGACTTAATTGACCTACAAAAAATGGAGGAAAAAAACCATTTTACTTTCATATGCAAACATATTATCAAATTACGTGCATAGCTCAAAATATCACAAAAATTTTGTCAATAAAAAGGGAAAAACAATAGCTTCTTAAGGAAAAAACTTACCTTCAATACACTACATTATATTATATCACATTTTCCTCTCAAGTCAAACTTATTTATATTATCAATAAAAGATGTATTTATTCAAAAAATTGTGCAAAAATTGTGTAAATTATATTTCGATGAATAGGAGAAGTTGTACTTGTTACCTTGAGTAATGAAAATCGCTAGGTTAAGAAGTAATTAATTGTATAAAATTATGTGGAAATGATGAAAAATGAATAAATATTAGAAAAATAAAATCAATATGTCTTAATAATCAAGTCATTAATTCTACTTTGTCGAAAAAAATATATGTTTATATAAGAAGTTGTTTAGTTAGCAAATTAGTATATTGTAGATTTGGAATCAATAAAGAACCCTTGATGGTACGGTGCTAGGTTGAAACTTAATTGATACCTAATAACATAGGCCAATTTTATTCAAGAATGAATACGATCCCCTCATTTTAATACATATAGTTGTAATATGAGCTAATTACACCTCTCCTTAATGGTTTCTAAGCTCTACATCTTTTGTGTTTGCAGTATGACATTAAAATCAATAAACTTGTCAACTAAATTTAGGATATGAGTTATTTATAAAATTTGTGAACCTAACACCCCTAAAATTTAAAATGCAATTAAATTCTAATTTAGATGAATATAATGAAAGAGTGCAACCCCTTGTTCCTAAAGAGTGTCTATCTTCCTAAAATACATGATTTATCATGTGTTTGACAAAGTTCCTGTTTCTAAATATTATTTTTGGTACATTGAGATAGAGAAAAAAAAAATATAATGTTATAGAATTTTTGGGGGCAGTTTTCATAAATTTGTCATCTAGAATAATCAAAGAGGTTTTAAATATTAGTTAAATTCAAGTTATTTTTAATATATTTGTTTTGAAATTTAAAACCATTGACCCCTTATTTGCTTAAACTTATTTTCTACTTTGACATTCTATTTTCATTTGTCTATTATTGGGTTAAAGTACATGAGAGCATTAAGTTAACTACGTAATGGCTTTTAGGCATCACCATGAGGTATTTTTTTTTAATGGTAACCAAATAGTGGTAATGATGTAAAATACGATAAATTTTCTTAGATCCTAGATTAGAAAAAAAAATGCCTGACTAAATATAACTAGTATAACACCCATGCGATGCACAGTTTATAAATCTCGATATAGAGTACTTATATTTTCCTTAACAAAACCTAATATAAAATGAGATTAATGAGTGACAATGAAATTTATGAATATATATATATATAATACTTGCTTAGTAGGATATTTGACTGAAATATACTGTAGCAATATTTATTGAAAAACATAAAGAAAATGAAAAACTAAAACAGGGACGCATGCCATCTTAGTATGTAGTTAGTGTATCCTATTTAGTACAATATATAGGTATAGATTGATAAGACGGTACAAAAAGTAAGAACAAATTTATTTGTAGGAAGTTTTTTTTTAACAGTGATATTTAAGGAGTGTTGATGATAATAAATTAATAATTTATCATGTGATAATAATGTTAGGTTTTCTTATATCTTAAATTTTAGTTATTAATCCATATTCAAAATACTAACTTTTGTAGAGGTAAAAATATTTTGTATGGATATTTATGAAAAATATATTGTTAAAAATATTTTGTATGGATATTTATGAAAAATATATTGTTATGAAGAATTCATTGATCAACCAGTAATTAAGTTAGGTCATTTATTCATCAACTTGTATATATATATATATATATATATATATATATATATATATATATATATATATATATATGTGTTTCTGTTTTGTTTTAATAACAAAAGTGTATGTACCATTTTCCCATTAGATAATATAGTGAGTGAGCCGAACAATGTTCCACGTTACTACTTTTCATAAATTATTTTTATTGAGGACTTTAGGCGTTAAGACATGATATATATTGCATGATATTTGAATACATTCTTGTAAATTTGGGACAAAAAATCATTACCATAAGGAGTTGAGGTAACAAACATATAATTCTTCCATGTTATTACTATAACTGTTGGAAGTATAACTAGCAGTTTAGTATAATACAAATATATAATTGTAAGACTTTATTGTCTTGTTTATTTTTAAAAAATTATAGAATGATGTAATATTGGGTTGGTGGTTAAGTTTTTGCTTTTCATTTCAAAAGTTATTTATTTGATACATTGTAATGACAATGTTTAATTTTTAAATTGAGGGATTTATAACATGAAAATAGCGCATTTGTATGAGAGGAGAGAGTCACGTAGCACGCAAATTTTATTTGGACCACTTTTTAATAAGTTAGTATAGATAACAGTCATAACACCTTAGAGAGTATAAAGTAAAATAAAAAAAATAAAATAAAGAAATAATATAGAAAGATTATGAAGAAGAGGACACATTTCACTTTAATAATATAATTTTAGTTTATTATATATATATATATATATATATATATATATATATATATATATATATATATATATATATATATATATATATATATGGGAAGGATCTCGTGAGAATACCTCCTATATGTGAGAAATCTTTCATATGTGAGAACACTCTCATGTTCAAATTTTTACTCGTGTGTTCTAAATTTTTACGCACGTGTTCTAAATTTTAAATGAGTTAATCAAATGTTCCAAATTATTACTCACAAGTTTTAAATCTTAAATTATTTGTTCCAAATTTCAACTTATATGTTCTAAATTGTAAGTTGTGTTCTAAGATTCTTAATCATATGTTCAAGATTTTAAATCATATGTTATAAATTATTACTTGTATGATCCAGACTTTTATTCACATGTTCTAAATTTACTCATATATGTTATAAATTTTAAATCAGGTGTTCTAAATTTTTACTCACATGTTCTAAATCTTAAGTCAGATGTTCTAATTTTTATTCATATGATTTGAATTTTCAATAATCATGTTTTCAAAATTTTACTCACACATTCTAAATTAGAAATAAGATGTTCTAAATTATTACTCACGTAGATGTTCTAAATTTTACTCATATGTTCAAAACTTCAAAATCATGTGTTCTAAATTTTTAATCATATGCTCTAAATTTTTACTCATATCTTCTAAATTTTTACTCACGTGTTCTAAATTTTAAATCAGTTCTCATGTAAGTATGATTTCTCACATATGGACCTTTTCTCATCGGATCCCTCCCCTTTATATATATATATATATATATATATATATATATGTATATATATATATATAATTAAATACATTTTATATATCTTTTATGATTGATTTTTAGTAGCAATTATAAATCTAGTAACTTTATTATTGTTGGACAAATTTCAAAATTAATTCTTATAAATATCTTTATGAAAATAACAATTAATTTCAACCATTTTTTTTTTATAGAATATATATATGTAGAAAGTAGCAATCTTCATTTATTGTAAGGTATGTAAATTTAATGCAATTCGTTATTTTATATATAAGATTGAGTAGCCCAACACTAATAAGTTTTTTTAGCCTACCAAGAGTATAATGCATGATCATATATAATAAATTAATAATATCTCGTGATGATTGATCAATATCTTATGAAAATAAATTATTTATATAATTGACCAATATCTTACGATAATCAATTATTTATTTAATTATTTTCTTACGTCTCAAAACGTGTCAACCTTGATATAATCTACTATGTGATGCCAATCTTACTCATCTAATGTTATAACTATTGAACACAGTGTTACTAAGCTTATATTAGCTCACTAGTTGTTATTCACCTGGAAGGTAGTAATGCTGACCATGGTTAAACCCATTCAGTAAGTGTTGTTGTTGAGGAACAACCGAACCAACATTAACATCCATGTCCTGCCTTAGGTTCTCTGCTCCATGCAAATCATCTTGAGATCCACAATTACCATATATACTTGAACCGATAACTGGTCCACATTGGGCTCGGATACAATCGACTAATCCAACATTTTCATGGATTCCCCCATTATAATTCACCTTGTTAATACCAGCTGACCCATTAGTATTTACACTCCACCCAATCAACCCATTTTCTGTTTTGTACACTGATCCATTAGTGTGCCCATTTTGGGCCACAAATTGACCTGTTTGGTGATGGACTTGTGCATGGGCTTGATTTTGATAAGACTTGAGTTCATCATAAATTTTGCGATATTCACCATATGGACCAAAAACTGGGTCCTTTTGGCGACACAAGGCCTCCCAAACAAGAGAATCCGCCGCCCGTTTACGGTCTTCGTCATTATGCAAATTCCTCACCATTTTTTGGACATTGCTAACACCAAATACCTTGTGAACTGCTTGGAATTCTCGAACTTTTTCAGCTGGAAAAAATGGAGCTAATATGCACTTATCAGTGCATCTTTTCCTTTGGTGTTTACATGCTGCACATGCTTGGTGTGTGCCAGAAATTCCATTTGTCCTATGCATCGTTTTAATAAAGAAAAGGAAGATAAAAATTAAATTATATCTGTTTTAATCTAAATTAGTAAGTTTCAAGAACAAAAAGAATATGATATATATGATTAATTATACTGTGATTCTTTGTAAAAGAAGAGAAAGAACATTGATTAGGATGGCCAAAGGAAAGAAATTCTAGTATAGTCTATGTTTTGTTTATATATTAAGAGTCTCAAGTAATTTAAGAAAGAATTGTACTTATATTCAAATTAAAAATAAGACAATGACAAGAAAACATCATTAGAAGTTGATGAACTATGCCATATTTTGAGCACGAAAAGATGGTTTACTGTTAAAAAACAACCAAGAGCTTATGATAGTTTAATCTAGGATGTGTAGGTTGATCACAAGAAGATTAAGGTTGGAATTTAGTATTTTATAAGCCAGAGCAAATGAGAAAATTGATTACGAAAATTATGGCGGTGATAATATAGAGTTATTTAGATGATAAATAATTAACTTATATACTTCTACTTATATCATTAGCCAATATCTTACCAACATTGTTGCTTCTAACAATTTCATATGTCATAATAAATTGATATTACCGCCAGTATGAATGATAATACATTATTCTTTCAAATTCTAACAACCATCTAACATGAAATATGTTGGTTATGTATATATAATGAAAAGTTATGAATTCTATAAGTTTAGTCTTCCAAAATTATTTTGTATGAACTAAAATTTTCTCATTGCTCAAGGAGACACACCAAATTGTTGAAAAACAACAAAATCAAACAATGCCTATGTGAGAATAATTATAAAAAATAAATCGTTATTTAATTGATTGTCAAAAATAACAAAATCAAACAATTTATATTTAGAAAAATCAAAAAATTCCTAATTGAGAATGATTAGAAAATATAAATAAAAAATGAAAAATAAAATTTAGGCAAATTAATAACTTAGATTTATGTTGATAATTAATTGTAAATAGAGATCATTCCAAAATTAAAAATTAACAAAAAGGCTTGTTTATTTTCGATTTCTCTTTTCTATTTTATATACTTATATACTCCGTATAATTTTGTCATTTTCAATTTCATGAGTATCTTACTAAGCTTGACTAATTTTTTTTTTATTTTTTTTTATTCTATAAATTATATCATATAATTTTGAATTAAAAATCTAAAAACTATAGTTATGCTGCTCAGACTTTTAGTCTTTTTTGAAGTCATGCCCTTAGTTTTATTTTAACAATAAATTGAGATAATTCTTGTTAATAGATCCTAAAAAACAAATAAAATGTTCATTTCTCAATTTAACTTTTTCAAACACATCCATATTTATAACACAAAAATTCTAAATTCATACTCAGAAATGGAGACAACAAAGACACCATTTCTTCACTTCCTCTGCTTCTGCTGCTGTTGTTTCTTCTTCTTCGTACCTTCTACTTCATCTGTTGTTCTTCGCGGAATTCATCCCCTTGGTACTTTCCCTATCAAAACCCACAAAATCATACATACCCTTCTTACTAATTTGAAATGTCATACATAATTTCAAGTCATTCCTTTTGAAAATTGCAGATATCAATTACTTTGATATAGATGTGATTAACTGCAAAGACGGTTCGAGTTCTTTCACCAAAGATCGTCTTAACGACGACTTTTGCGACTGCGTTGACGGCACCGATGAGCCCGGTATTCCCTCTTAACCCATTTATGTAGTCTAAGTTTGGTGGCAACTATAGTTTATGAGATTGTGTTGGGTTGATGACACCATTATTGACTTTATTGTTGTGGTCTATATTATGGTTTTTTTTTTTTTTTTTTTTTTTTTTTTTTTTTTTTTGTAGGTGTAATTTTGAGCTGGAAACTTCTTTTATTGATGCTGGTTTTATAAAATTCGATTAGTCTGAACTAATTTGCGGTACGAAAATGGGTATGAGCATGTTTTGGGTATACTTCTATTGTGGTGATCAGATTGCAATTTGTATTTTTATTTGAAGGGTATTTTGTTTTATGATTTTGGGTTAAATTAATTGTGTATTGTCATTTTTTCAATAAGAGTATTCTGTTGGTTATTGTTGCTTGTCGACTGATTAGTAGATTAGTGATGGATTTCGAATGTGTAGAAACGGACATGCTTTGGGGTGAGTGTAGGAAGCAATTGGATTGCTATTTATTTACATTTTTGAGAAATTGTTCGTTAAGACTTTCCCTAAGAAGTGGAGCAATTGCTCGAGCTTTGAAATTATCAGAAGTGTTGAAAGGTTTTTGAAGATTTGAAACAAAATGACTCGATTTGGTTTTGGCATCTTGTATTTTGAAGAGTTAAGAGTTAATGCTAGTGTAGCTTCTGAAAAGCTGGGCAATAGCAGTCTCTTGTTCATTAAATCTATTATGACGTTTACTAAGGGATATACTTCCTCCGATCCAAATTAATTGACAAATTTTGACTTTTGACTATTCTTAGACTCTGCTTCATCTACTCCATAGGTTTTGTGATTTATAGATAAGAAAAATAATCATGATCTCTTTATAGATACCTCTCAATGTGTATTTTCAAAATATAAACTATTCTAAATTTTGCTTATTGATTCAAAGATACCTTAGAAATTATAATTGTTGAATTTATGCATCGACAAACTGATAAAGCAAATGTGTTAACTAATTTGGAACGGAGGAAGTATGTATTAGGGTGGTGGTTGTTAGTTGCTTAGTTCTTCGGATTTGTAGCACAGGGTCTGTCTTTTGTTGTCGATCTCTGGCCGTTTGGGTGTAGGCATTTATGCTATTTTTTAACTCTTTACAGTTGGACGTTCATCACAGGGTGCTGGACTGCAATCCTTTGTCATTTCAGGAAGTGCTCTTTCACGAGTTTTTTTCAATGCATAGTTATACACTTTTATATGGTTAAAAGTGCAGTGAAGATAGTTGCTTACTTTCTTGGGCTGTAATTATGATTTAATTAGTTTTTAGTTTTATATTTCCTTGGGATACTTCATTAATCTTCAATCATCTGGGAGTATCCTGATATTGCCACTTTCAATATAATCTCAATAATCAAATTTAAATATTAATTGTCGATCAATGCTAGATTTCTAACTGCCTAAAAACAGAATGACAATCCATCCTAATTGTTTTGTAGTAGTCTTCACTCTTAAGCTCTTAATTGGTTTATATATATATTGCTTCTTCCACTCTCAAGAGTTATGCCATTGCCTGTAATTAATTGGATAATTCAGTTATTGCACATAACATAAGGTACCATGTAAGGCAGAGTGCATGAGTCACAAGACTCACAACACATTTTAGGTTAGGAGAAATGTGGAAGTTAGGCTGATTTGAATTAAAGTTATTATATTGTGATAGGAGTTCCATCAAATGATGTTTCTAGTTTCTTGGATGGTTGATTAATTTTGTTACCTGACATGATTTCTTCCTACAAGGAAAATCGAGATCCTTTTTCTAGAATATGCAGGAAATCAATGTAGCCACCCCCCCACCCCCCCCCCCCCCCCCCCCCCCACCACACACACACATCATACACACATTACCAGAAGGAATTGAGGAGCTTTATAATCACAAAGTGAAAATAATCTGCTTTTGTTACAGGCGTATTTTGTAGATTAGATAAGGATTACAGCATACAGCATACAGTATTGTGCTAGGCACCATTATGATAAATAGGCAAGTTGTAAAGAGAGATTCTTAAATGTATTAATTGAACTTTAATGAGGGAGTTTCATTCCTCTCGAATGAGTGGTTAGTCTGTCTTGGTTTACACACCCCGAATATATTAATGCAGTTATATTGCTTACTGTAATTTTCTCTTTATTGTTCTGTCCTTGCATTTTAACTCTGATTTTGAGCAGAATGTTTGTCCAATCATTCAAGGTAGAACCTCTGCAGGGTGTTTCTGAATAATCTCAATTTTTTGGTATAATTATTTCATTTACTCACTGTGAAGAAACTGTAACTAGCGAGCAATAACCTTTGCTTCTTGTACTATATGAGTTCCATTTCAAAAGGCTTGATAATTGTACCGCATTCAATACCCCGCCCTCCCTATGCTGTATGAAGTTATAAACTTCTAGTTCCTTCTGAGGTTTCACATATGGAAATAACCTTCACTCCTCAACCTCCTGAGATTGAAGGGGGTTGAGTAGGAATGCATAGTCTGCATATCATTGTGTAGCTGTAAATACCATTTCTACATCTCTATTTACCTCCTATAACTTTTAATTTCATCAATCTTTTTTTTTTTCCTTCCCTCTGTAGGTACATCAGCATGTCCTGGGGGTAAGTTCTATTGTAGGAATGTTGGAAGTCAGCCACACTTCCTGTTTTCATCTCGTGTCAATGACCATATTTGTGGTAAGAAAAAGGGCAATTATTAATGTAGTGTTCTATCCTATCCATTTGCATTGGCGTAAGTTATACACTCGTATTCAGTTTGGAACTCTTTAGCCTGTACTACCTACATCATATTACATATTTTATCCATCTTTAGGAACTTTTAACTTTTAGTTTTTCTTGTGCAGATTGCTGTGATGGGAGTGATGAATATGATGGTGTCATTCTTTGCCCCAATACATGTATCATGGGAGGCAGTATTGTATATAAGACTGAATTACACCAGACTTCAAATGTTATACTGGGAAAAGAAAGCAAACCTCATGGCGGATTGGACATGATTCAGAACCTAAAAGGTTTTACTAATCAAGAAAGGCCCTGTTATTTGCACTTTATGATATAGTTTTCTCCTTGGTTTGTCATTTTTTTTTTATTGATGCAGATTTGAAGGTGTTGGCAATCCTGCAATTAATCATCCTTGTTTTCTGGGCCATTTGGCTCTACTATCGTCGTTCTAAAGCTAGAAAACGGAGATCTCATGTATGATCAGGCATTACCTTACTAGGTTTGTGGTCAAAAGTACTACCTAATCAAGTGCTTGTGTCATCTCATGCCATCATACTCTATACTCATACCAATTCATGATGTTGGTAGCTTTAGTTGAACACAGCTTTGGTTTTTGTACATGAACCTGGAACATGCCAAGAGATTACTTTCCTTCAGAAAAAAGCTTAGCTTGAGACAGAGGATGACATGACAAAGCCAACTCAGTGTAATGCTTGGTCTAATATGATGTGAAAGTTAAACAAAGACGTGACAAGCAGCTTGAAGACCTCTGTAGTACATTTAGCATGTAAGCTTGCAGGATATTGTTCTGCTCTGCGTTTGCTACTAACCATGAGTTTATTACCTAATGCGTTGTACCTTTTCTTTTATAAAGGCATTTCATGGGTTTAGCTCGCATTTTTTTTTTTTATGTATTTAGGATAAATATTCAGACAGTATGCATAACAAAGAAAGAGAGAGCTGTGTGATATTTTTTGTTTTTTTTTGTATTTTTCCGTAATCTTTAACTATTGTTGGTTTGCTAATCATTGACATTGTTAGTTGTTGCTTAATGCTTGCATTTTTATGTATTTGGGACAAATTTTCAGACAATAATATATGTATAACAAATGAAGAGAGTTGCGTGACGTATATTTTTTTTTACAAGATGGAACATACTTCTATACTGGTCTATTGGTTAGGTACGAAATATGTTGCAGAAGAAATAATGGAAAAGGTAATTAGGAGACTGTTTTTTCACAAAATGTAATTAGGATAATGTTTGAGAAATGCTAAAATATTTAACTTATGCAAAACAAACCCAAATGCTACCTCAGCTACGCTAATGTAAAGTTTTTGTGAGACAGTAATCACCCCATAAAATCTGTTCAAGGATAAGTGTTGTAAATCTTGTAATACACATTAAATGAATAAATGACCCGATTAAGTTAGTACCGTCAAATACCACCAGTCCACCACCCAGGTACCTCATGCTCGATTTGATGTATCATTTTGTGATATTAAAAATGTAATGCAATTACTGTTCATTTAGGCTATATCAATTCTTGTTTTTAATGAAAGAGGACAAAACAGAGATTAATATCCTAAATCTCTCTACTTTTGATCTCTTTGAAATCCTTAGTATTAAAGCAAAAATAAGGTTGTTGCTAGAATTTAGAATTAGATATAATGAATTAATGATGAGCTATTGGAAGAGACCCAAAGTTCAGAAATCAGAAAATTCTACTAATACCAGAAGTCCAGAACAAATACTTCTATAAAAGGTATATGTCGTTATTACCCTTCGTTTCTGGTTATTTTGACATTGATCTTCTTCTGCTCTACTGTCTTACTGCTAATACTGCCACATTTTCTCTGTCTCTTCTGCAATTTTTTGTAGAAAAAGAAAATGGAATTTTTATTTTTATTATTTGCTGTGAATTTATTATCTTGATTTAGAATAAAATTACCCATTTCTGTGTGTGTGTTTTTTTTTAATTTTTTGATTTTTATGTATTCTAAATTCAAAGAAAAAAAAATAAACACTTAGTAATTGCAAACAATGATTTTTGTATTGTAATTTAATGCTTATTCTAACTTTTCTTTGTTTTGTAGGTGATCTTTTTTATATGCTTCAAAACATTATCATCGTGCTTGCGTATCAGGTGTGGGATCTGCTTTGTATATTCTTAAATATCCTTAATCAATCTTGCCTACAAGGTGTTCGACAATATGCCTAAACGACCAAACTACCAGAATTTGTCACTTTTGAGTTTGATTTATTAACAATAACATTCAGCTTTTTAATCTTCTTGTTAATTAGTTTATATTAGGAATATGGCTCTCCTATCATCCAGAATTACCAGAATTCATCAGCAATTTTGTGGCCCTTTCCTCAGATTTTCATCCTTATATTCAGGAATATCCCATAAACCAGTTGAAGAATCAATAAAAATAGCAATTTCAAACAAAACATATGAACAAATCCCTGATATCTTAAAAACCTCAGAAGAATCCTGCAAGAAATATAACCCCTTTTCATTTCTTTCCTCATTCACATTGATTCATAGAACCAAAGTAGTTGATGAAATGTTACAGTCTTTCATATCTTTTAAACCTCATTCATGCCTTAAAACTACATATCACTATCTGTTAAGTTATATCCTTCAGAGCTCTCACCCTTTTCCGCTTGCTCTTGCGACCCTCCAACGTACGCTTCGTTCCGGGTGTACCCCTGTACCTCAGACTTACCTTTCTCTGTCTTCTGCTTGGATGTATCACCAACAGCAATTTGAGTCAGTGCCCAGCATTCTTCTAGCTATGAAATCAATTGGGTATCGCCCCGATTGTGGAACTTGTAACTTCATCATTAAGTCTCTTTGTGCTGTTGATCAGTTGGAAGAGGCTATAGAGGTGCTTAGGGGAATGATTGAGGTAGCATGTATTCCTGATGCTGAGAGTTACTGTACTATTATAGCTGCATTATGTGGAATCCGGAAGACGGACAAGGCATTGGCATTAATGAAGGAAATGGTAGGAAAATTAAACTTATCACCAAGGCAAGGAATATTGGTGAGGTTAGTGGCTGCATTACGTGCTAACAAGGAGATATGGAGAGCGGCTGAGGTGATTGAATTCCTAGTAAAGAAGGGGTTCCATGTTGGGTTTGAGAGCTTCGAGCTTCTGCTTGAGGGTTGCTTGGAGTGTAATGAGTTCATTTTAGCAGGAAAGATGGCAATGCTGATGACTGAGAAAGGTTACATACCATACATTAAGGTCAGGCAAAAGGTGGTTGAAGGATTGGCTGGAGTTGATGAGTGGAAGCTCGCTTGTGCAGTTAGGCACAGATTTTCAGAATTGAACTCATAACTTTATCTGATGAATGTGAAGAAAGGGCTACGAGGGGTAATAAAGAATAGTCTGTGCTGCATCAATTTTGTTCAGGTGCTCTGTTCTGTATGCATACTTCATGCAAAGTAAATTATTTGAATGGAAGCGAAGCCATCATCAACTTGTAGTTACCTACTTATACAAGAGTACTTAATGCTAGATGTCTTCTCAATCCATTTAGGAGTCTTGCAGCTGACAAATTTCTATAAAAGGAATTTTGCTAACAATATTGTAATGTTCTTTTATACTGATTAATTCTTTATAAAGAAGATTAGATTTATATTTTGGTGAGAAAAATTTCTGCGTTAGTTTTCTGATTAAATGTATCATATCTTATCGCTTCAAAAGTTTTTCTTTGCTTTTAAGTGATTACTCTGCTAGGCCCAGCCTCTGAAAACAAAGCTCATTATGTTTTTCTTTTCAATATGCCCTACCTTCCGTAATTTCAATTCTTAGGAAATTATTTGCACTGTTTTTCGTATTGCACATCTTTGACTGTTCCTATGTAAAAACACATTAATAATTTTATGATTTTTCATGCCTCTATAACAGAAAACTGCCTGTACTCTATGTTCTTGATGATTGATGGAGTTTTCAACTGTAGATCTCTAAGGTCCATTTACATAACAATTTTAACATCTGCTTCATTCCAGAAAGTATTATAGGCTATGAGTAGTTTGTATGTCATGCTTGTTGATTCCAACCATGTACTACTGTATATCTTGGATGATTTCTGAGACCAGACTGTTTTGGCTGATATTGAGCAACGTTATTCATACTGTTAATGGCCTGGTGTGTTACATACCAAAAAGCTTGTCATGAACAGCATTGAATCATTCTTTCTGCTGTCGAACAAAGTGTACTTCATTGCTTTATATGCCTTGTTACAGAGATAGTTGCAAGTATTTTACAGAACAAATTTTGTAGCTAGCTAAAATAAGGGATATTTGAAGTCTCAAATTTTCAATCTGTCTTTGTTGCAGGACATGTGCTAATACTAATATACCATCTATTAAATTCTCTTCTGGTAAGCGGTAAGGTCCTATACCAACTTTCCAACTTTTATGATAGTATGATAAAGGATATAACTTACATTTACTTGGTTAATTGCTTTAAAAGTGTCTACTTTGGAAACATATCGAAGAGATTAAATTGGATAACTGGCTTGCATTGCTATGCCGCATAGACCTGATTTTCTTGATGAACCACGTTTCATCCTTATAAATCCTTGTTCCCCCCAATGAGTACCCCACGAATTCTTCACTATCCAGTACTTGTTTCCCTTTTCTTCTCCATAACCAACAGCAGTTACGCCATGATTAAGACTTGTCCCACAGAAGCCGTCAAATATACCACTGTCATAGAGCTGAAATTCATAGCCACCAGCGTCAATAGCAACAGATACAGGCTGATTGGCAACTATGGCTTGTAGGGTCTCTTCATCATCTACAGGTACCGTCCTATAACCTTCTATTTTTACAGCATGGTGCTTTTCTTTTTGTTCATTACATTTGCCATCCCTTCCTGTGTAAGGGTACTCTGTTTCAATGGCTACACCACCATTTCTTTTTATATAATCAAAGGCTGCTTCCATGAACCCTCCTCTGCAGCCTAAATTTTCTCCACGGTCACAATCTACTAGTTCTTGCTCCGACAATGAAACCAACTTCCCGGTTTTTATTTTGTGGAGTCCTTCGACTGCTGCAATTGCAGAAAAAGCCCAGCAGCTTCCTGTGAAAGCCAAAGTTATGATCAATATAGTATATATGTATTCTAGCAGACATCTCACATGGCATTAAATAAAAAAAGGCTTCTCGCTTCCTTTTGTTTTTAACTTGAAAAATTGTGTTACCTTTTCACTTATAATTCTATATAAATTTGTATCCCAATTTAAACTTGTTACTCGGTAATTATTAATTTATAAAACTGATTTTCATTTAGTTGCTTTTTGCATGGAGCTTCCAACCTCATTGAAATATAGTTGCAGTCTTGCAGATAAAAAAAATCATTTTTTTCTAGAGTTGTGTTTGAGGTATCGAAACTAAAATGTTTATTTTTTATTTTATTTTATATATTTTGAAGGAAGAACAAGTTTTAGCACTCTCTCAAGTGGGAACAAGTTGAGAAAATACCACATGCGCCCTGGTCCTTAACATGAGTAACTGCATGCTTGTCTCTCCAGTCAATCTCTGTTGGCAAACTACGGCGGTCAGTTTTATTGATTGGGGCTGGATTCCTTTCTGGTGTTATGTTTGTCAACCGACCTGTGAAAAGGGAATTGAACTCCTCATTTGTCATATCTGCGAAGCTGTTATCAGTGAGCTTGAAGGTGAGGTTCTGAGAGTTAATATATTCAACAAACTGAAGATTGGACTGGTAAATTCCAAAGCGTAGCTCCCATTCGTCTTTGTCCTTGTATTGTTTTCCATGAGATTGCATCCAATTCCTGTACCTCTTCTCCATTATGCGCGGGTCATACTCATAACTTGGTGGTTCTACTTCTCCAGAATCTGCATAAGAAGATACCCACAAAGTGCAGGCAACAAGGATAACAAAAGCGGTCTTGCAGGCAGCGGTAAAGGCCATCGTCTTATTTACTTCCAACTGAAATTTGTATTTGGAGATGAGTTTATAGAAGAAAGATATTGTTCAGCAACATATGCTTGAACTCTCTGAGTTCCGTTTTAAGTTGTGTTTATTTTTTCTTTCATGTATTCTGCATTTACAACTTCTATTAAGGCAAGTATTCTTGCAAACTATGTTTGTGTGACCCCCTAAACTTTCCTTGTACGTCTTTAATGTGCCACACCTTGTCAAATAAATCAATAATTCATTTCTTGACATTTTCTATTATAACCTAAGGATATCAAATCACCATGTTTATAGTTCAAGATCAATCAAGATATCTTCAACAATTATCTGTTAGTTTTTTTAGAGCAATTGTTAAGCCTATAGGACTATGAGAGTGTCTTAAAGCTCTCAATTAATTTATTTATTTTGGGCCCAGATGAACCACAAGAGCAATACAAAGTATAAATGTAGGTGAGAGATTTAAACCTGTGACATGTTATATACAGACCCTCAATCTTAACCATTAAGCCAAGACCTCAAGTCTTATAAGTTACGCAATATAATTGTTACCATAATCAAGTTTATTAATTGTAGGTAAGTAGTAAGACTTAACCAAACAATTACTGAGGTTGCAATATCATAAAAACCTATCAATTTGTAATCAAAGACTCATCAAACCAACATTTGCCATTCATAGTATATCCCTTGATTCCCAAACAAACCCTAGAAAGAAATTACATAATCACGAAATATATAATTACAACAAAATCAAATAAAGAATATAAAAGAAAAAAGTTTTAGAAAAAAAATTGTCACCAAATTGGTAAACCCACAATTTATTGTTTTGATGATTGATTAATTGATCCAATTGAAGTAACGAGGATTTAAGATAGAGGATGAAGGAATAAGATCAAGTCTCTAAGAAAATGGAACATAGGAGATGGTAGAATAGGCTCAACATCAATGCTTTTACACACAGCTTCACCCTCATTAATAAGCTAAGCTTGTTAGTGAAAGAATATTCAACCAAAAGATCTAAAACTAATGATTTCTCACTCACAGACTCTACAACCAATGATTCTTCCTTCTTCACTGCACCTTTTATGTCCAACATTTTCTCATCTTGACCCCTATAAGCAGCCAAAATAACCTTCCTCTAATGAACTACCATTCTTAATAAATCCATCATCATTGTCATCATAAATAGGCTCCATGTTACAATAAGGTGATACAGGTTAATTTTGCAGATCAACTTAAGGGGAAGGGTACATTAATTGCAAATTAGTAAGAAATTTTAATGCTTAAAGAATGTAGCACAAACTAATTAAAGACAAGAAATCTTACATCATCTAACTACATAGAGCACAAGATCAAGGCCATTACCAATTAATAGCAGTTAAATAGGTTTGCCTTGGGAAATCACTCATGCCCAACAATAGTTTAGAATAAAAGAAAAAAAAATAATAAAAAAATAAAAAAAAGAATAATTATCTAAGTCATGTTCTGTAATCCTTAAAAAAATGTTATTCTAATTTGTGCTTTGTATTAGATTTAATTTTGCCTTAAATTATCGAGTCAACTTTTTGATAATTAATTGATTGTAATGATATTTCCACAAAGTATATTAAAATATAGTACTTCATACAACTTAAATGGAGAGTTTAAATTTCTAGGATCAGTAGCTATATCTACCAAAATCACCATTTGCTAACAGTTATTTCTAACACAAATAAACAAACATGGTACAAGAGAGACTAATAACAAGCCTAACAAACCATGTTAGGCTGTTTGCCTTAAGGGGCTCTTTTGAATCCATCTAGCCATTATATCGATCTCCTTTTCCCTTTGATTCTTTAACCATGTTGGATCTTCTGGTTTTGTGCCATCATAATCCAAAAGTGAGACCCTTTGGACAAAAACAGAGCAAACTAAATAAATAAATGACCAGATAGAATAAACTCTTATTCTAATACTTTTATATTCAAAACAAAACACACCTTGTTCTGTATTTATTGTCATTAATGTATCTGAGATGTCTTCCAATAACATATTGGCTTAATCCACACAAAAAAAATTATGAGTCAAACAAACAAAGATCGAATACATATTAATCTACTCGTACTTCATATATGATAATTATTGGTATTAAATTTACCCGAAAGGACTGAATGAATATATCCATAAGCCCATTTTAGAAAATAATATTACTTGCAAAGTCCTTAAGTGATAATTGCATGTCTTATGATTAATTCAATTGAAACATGTTAGATAGTTGTAATTGTTCTATCTAAGATCAATATCAAAACAGATCACAAAATTACTTTGCCGCCATAGAAAGTTGATATCCAACGTAAACGTGTACCAACACTGTAAGTTTGAATGCAATAGTCGATATGATTTGTCATGTTGTAAGGTTCTGGTGGAAACATCGTATCGTTTCAACAACCTTGGCGCAAGACTAACTTGAAACAAATCTATTAATCAAATAAACAAGCAACATTGATTTAAACATATAGTGCATTTATTAAGTACGATTTATGTTTGATCAATTCTAAAATATAATTTAGTTACCTGCTAGGTCCATGATATGGTTGCATTTGGTTTCAGACCACGCACACATACGAGTTTCGATGCATCGTTTGTTTCAAGGCACGAATCTCTTCAACATACAAGAATTGCAGGTGCAATATCTCCTACAATGTTTGCGTTGAGACTTTGAACTATCTCCATACAAACTTCATTTATAAGTGTATTGAATCGCCCATTATATTGATCCGCAAAGTTGTACATATCGGCTAGATTCGATGTTAGCTCGTTAAGTGTGGTGGACTAAACAAAAATAAGATATAATTATCAAAGAATTTTATAAGAAGTAAAAAGCATTATCAAATGTAAATAAAATGATCACTCACTTCATAATTTTGAAAATTGTTTCAAGTTGACCAATAAATGTGTAGCAATTTTTTTTGATAAGATCCCAAGATTGTTGCATTCTATCATAACATTTTTTATTCATAGCTTGTATACAATGATATAAAGTAAAATTGAAGTTATTAGTCAAATATTAGTATACAATTTGATAAAGTAATTTCATAACAATAAGTCTTAGACAATATACCTTGAAATCGTTGCTAACCACCTCACAATAAACATTCTCTCATCTTTGGTCCATGTCATTATAAAAAATTGGGATCGAGAAGTCAAGTGCCCCAATAACAAGGTGAGGGAATTTCAGTCCAAACCATGGGACTCGCACTATAAATACAAAATAGCACAAGTAATCAGGGGAGGATCTTCATTAAGAACCTTATATTTTTGTAAGAGTTACTAGATGTGCGTGATAAAAATATTATGTCAAGTGACATATCCAACATTTTTTTCAAGTAGGTTCAAATATATGAAAATTAATTAAAATTTAATCCAACATAGACACTTATACTACTTAATTAAAAAAAAATTAATATTTAAATTAATTTTTATTGAGACCTTTTTTTACACTCGAATCATAACACTACAAATTAATTTCATAACTCAAAATGTATCAACTACAAATACAAATGGTATGTATTATTAAATTAAATTATTTTTGTACATATATTGTATATATATTGCACATGTTTCGTAATGTGTTGTTTGCATCTATTAGCCCATATTAGTTTGTGTAAATAAATTTTTTTGATCAAATTCACATATTCTTTCCTTATAGTGATCAATTATTATATTTTAATTGTATGTAACAAACTTTTACAAGAGTTAAGTGGGGTCAATTGACTTAATTGCTTTAAACTTCACTTCGGTCAAATTATTGTTTTTATTAATAGTTAGATATCTATAATTTTAATTAGAAGTTATTAAAGTTCAAAAATTGGTCTCATACCTTTTAGTGTAAGATCCGCCACTATTTGCAAATTATTAAGAAATCTTAATGCTTACAAAAAATGTAACACAAACAAGTTAGAGACAAGAAATCTTACATCATCTAACTACATAAACCACAAAATCAACGCCATTACAAATTAATAGCACTTAAATAGGTTTGCCTCGGGAGATCACTCAAGCCCAACAACAATACTTTAGATTAAAAAAAAACGATGAAATCATCGAAATAATGTTTTATAATCCTTACAAAAATTTTTGCTTCGTATTAGATTTAATTTTCCCTTAAATTATCTTGATTCAACTTTTTTGTAATTAATTGATTCTAAAGAAATTTCCACATAAAATATAATACTTCATACAACTTAAAGGGAGAGTTTTAAATTTCCTGTATCAGTAGCTATATCTACCATAACCACCATTTGCTAACAGTTATTTCTAACACAAATAAACACACATGGTACCAGAGAGACTAATAACAAGCCCAACTAAACCATATTAGGCTATTTGTTTTAAGGTATTGGCTCTTTTGAATCCATCTAGCCATTATATCGATCTCTTTTTCTCTTTGATTCTTTAACCATTTTGGATCTTCTGGTTTTATGCCATCATAATCCAAACAGTGAGACCCTTTGGACAAAAAACAGAGCAAACAGAACAAATAAATGACCAGATTGAATAAACTCCTATTCTAAAATTTTTATTTTCAAAACAAATCACACCTTGTTCTGTAGTTATTGCCATTAATGCATATGAGATGTCTTCCAGCACCTTATTGGCCTATTCTACCCAAAAAAATTATGACTCGAACAGACAAAGATCGAATACATATCAATCTACTTGTACTTTATATATGATAATTATTGGTGTTATTTTTACCGGAAAGGACTGAATGGATAGATCCATAAGCCCATTTGAGAAAATAATGTTACTTCTTGCAAAGTCCTTAAGTGATGATTGCATGTCTTACGATTAATTCAATTGAAACATGTTAGCTGGTTGTAATTATTCTATCTATGATCAATATCAAAACAAATCACAAACTTACTTTGTCGCCATAAAAAGTTGATATCCAACGGAAACGTGTACCAACACCGTAAGTTTGAATGCAATAGTCGATATGATTTGTCTTATTGATCGTTTCAACAAATTTGGCGCAAGACTAACTTGAAGCAAATCTATTAATCAAATAAACAAGCAACATTGATTTAAACGGATGTTGTTCATTAATTAAGTACGATTTATGTTAGATCAAATAGAAATATAATTTAATTACCTGTCAGGTCCACGATTTGGTTACATTTGGTTTCAGACCACACACACG